TAAAAGTTCAAGAAGTTGCTAATGGACCTTTGGCTGAAATCAATTTATTGAAAACTAGGAAAGCAGATATTTTTGAAAAAATCAAAGCTTTATCTATTTTAGTATTGACACCACCTCCTTTGGATTACAAAAGGCAAGAATATCTTTATCATAATATTCGCCCATTTGTGAAAGATGAATACAAATATATTACTTGCCCAAGACCAATCTATACTGGTAACAAATAATATATTTAGAATAAAATTACCTCTATGATTTCTTACTGTCATTAAGTTTAATCTTTTGACAAATATTGTTAGCTTTTTTCCACATTTAAAGTAAAAAAGTGCTAAAATAATTATATACTTAACATACCCCTAAGGATATAAGTATATTAAAAGAATAAGTAAAAAAGGAACAATCAAGAAAATCATGACAAACATCTTAAAAGAACAACAACAAGCAAATAAAGAACTAATCAATGAAATTGAAACATTGAAAAAGCAATTATCCAATAAAGAACAAGAAATTACTGAATTAAAAAATCTAGAAGTAAGTGAAGAAGAGGAAGTTGAATTTAAGCAAGAAGCAACGGAAAGAATTTACCAAATATTGGTAGATATGAGAGGAAGGTTTCCTCACTGTAGTAAGAATATTGAACAAGATTTAAGGGAATTGATTAGCAGACTGTTAAGGCAACAGTTTATGAATGTTTGTTTTCAAGATAGTTTGTATAGGAAACATATTATAGAACATAATGAAAACCAAGAAAAAGTCATTGAAGAAATTGTTAACAATTACTATGAATCTGAAAATGAAAAGCACCGGGAGCATCAAAGTGAAAAGAATGCTATCATTGGTAAAATAAGAAGTGGAAAAAACTTTGGAGATAAACCTGCTAAAGATATCATTATCAAGGATATTATTGAAAGCAAGATTGAATGAATTAAGGAGTTGGAAGCAAAGGTGGGGGAATTAGAAGATGAGGTACAAACAGAACAAGAAGAAATTAAGAACATCTTAATAGTTGGTGAAAAATGAAGTAAAAATCAAGCAGAAGATACAAAAGAAAAAAACAAGAAACTCAAAAGTGCTAGTGAAAAGATTTCTTATCTAGAAGCTCGAGTTGAAAAATTAGAGGAAGAATTAAGTCAAAAGAGCAAAAAAATAGAAAACCTAAGCAAGCAATTAACTGATAGTGAAACACAAAATGAAATTTTAAAGAATCTGATCTACTTAGATAATAAATCTTTACCTGCCTTACCTATAGAAGAAGAAGAGAGCAAGCCATCTTCAACTAAACAGAGCATATTTAAGCAATTAAAAACAAAAGCAAAAACCAAGGTTCAAAAATTACAAAAGCTAATCAAAAAGGAAAAGTTTCACAACCAAGAAATGATTGCTCAAGTAGAAGTTAAGCCTAAATAACAAGTAAATTGCAATGAAAGAACTGGAATATACAGTTTTAGAATTGGAAAAAGAAAGTAAAAAAACTTGTGATTTCTGCTCTAAATTTGAAAATAAAAATAATAAATCTGTTCATCAAATAAGAGCCCATAGTAAAATAACTGCGGAATGAATTTTTTCAGATGACATGGTTTGTGAACAGTGTGAAGAAAAGTATTGGGATGGAGAACTATTAAAGTGTAATAGGTGTGGTAGATTACAAACCAAACTGGATTTTGATGTTGTTAGTGGTAAAAATACTTGTTATTGCATTAGAAACAATGAATACTTGGAAGAGAAAAAACTTCCCCTCTTACCTGATGAAGAAATAAGTCAGTCTGCTTTTTATGAAAGACAGATAAACTCCCTACAAGAACAATTAAATGAGACTGAAGAAGCATTAGAAATTGAGAGGGGAGAAGTAGTTAAATTTCAAGAGAAATCAGAAGAATGAGGCAAGAGACAAAAACAGGAATTGTTGGATAGAATTAAGCAATTAGAAGCAGAAAATTAAAAATTAAAAGGCTTAACTAATCAAGAGTTAATAAAAGAAATCAATGAGTTAAAAGTTCAATTAGCACAATTACAACAACAAAATGGTCAATTAGTTGTTGCTCAAATTGAAGTTAAAGAAACTAAAAAATGACCTTGATTGAAAATTAAAAATTAACAAAGTTGAAAAAAAAGTAATTA